TCCTCCTGCCTCACGCACCATTGCTATGAACCCACACACTGCACTTGGAACTACAACAATTGTCAATGTATCAAAGGCTGCTTGATTTTACCTAGATCAGGTACCAAGAGCACAAAGTTGAGAATAATACAGGCTTTAGCTTGTATTTTTTGTGTCTGCTGGGACCTCAAGCACTTAGCAAGGAAATGAACCTGCAATGAGGTCTATGCTATCACGATTTCACTTCTTCTAGAACCCGAGGAACCTGTTTTGAGATGAATATGGATGCTATTATCACACCTACACACCCCTGCTCTGGGAGGAAAAGTCACAAAATGCCAAGTTCTGAAGTCTGGACTAAAGCAAACTAGGTCAGAGCAGAACTGCAACCTCCATTTTCGTCAGGAGCCTCCTGCCCTATTTTTAACTTGATCTTTTAAGGAGGCTTTGTCTCCAATGGCCAGGTGTGCCACAGTTGAATCTTTGCAAACATGGCCTCTGACAGAGAAGAGGCTTATACCTGTTCTCAAAATCCAGGGCTTTGAATTTCACTTTGGATCAAATGGCAATCAATGCAGGTCACAGGCTGACTTTTCTTCACACTTTTAGCAAGAAATGCTGCTCAATGAACAATCAGCGTGTCAGACCTCCCTTCGGTATGAATACAAAAGCACATTTGTTAGAGCCTTTCCAGCTCAACTTCGATAGCTCTGCCTGAAGACACTATTCAGTTTCTGTGTAAAGAGCAGTCCTCAGCCCAAAATGTTCACCAAATTCCATCTTCAAATTCCTAACTCTCTCAAACTGCTATATAGTACCATACATCCAATAAACTTCCATGGATGCATATGTATGTATTATATTAATACTTCATTTTGGATTTCTACATCTATTCCTTGTCAATTTAATTTTTCACTTGTGTTCTCTATATAGTTTAAAACCTTACAGACCAGGAAATAATGACACTTAAATTCTTTTGTCCTTCGTGTTATGCATGATAATACCTCTGTTTGCAAAAACCGATGACTAATGCCAGCATTATACTGCTGAGCTAGTATTAAAATAGGTACAGCACCCACAGCTTTGGAGAAAGAAACAGAAAAAATCTTTCATTGACCTGAAAAACAGCAAGTTCCACAGCAACTGCTTATGGAAAATCAGACTGTGCCATCATTTTTCAGTAGGTGCAAAAGGTACTTCAGTTTGGAAGAAAAATTATTCATAAAATCTTAATAACTATGAAAAAAACCAAAGAAAACAAATACAGTTCTGAGCAAAGACAAGCCTTCTTCATGTGTTGCTGCCTATATTGTCACCAAATTGTATCTGTCTTGTCATCTCACCTACTACAAACAGTGCAATCATACATGTCCCAGCTGACAGTTCTTGTGGTGCATTCTCTAAGAACATCTTAAGTGTTCCCACTTCAGTTGGCCAAGGAAATCTATGCTTAGTTTAGTTTTTCATTAACTGCAGACACAGTAAAAGATTAAAAAAAAACAATAAAAGAATAAAAAAACCCAAACCGACCAACCAACCAAAACAAAACAAAACAAGAAAAACCAAAATCCCAAATGAACAAACAAACAAACAAAAAAAACCCACAAAAAATTCACTAAAATGCATTTTCCACTATACTGCAAAAACCCCGCAGAGCAATAGGTATCAAGCAGTGATGTGACAGGAATTAGTCCTGTATTCCACTTTCCCTTGCACACAATATGGGCTCCACTTATGCTAAGAAAGCCTGAGGCAATATGCAACTGTCTGAGGTCAGAACTACTATCTGCAAAAAGACAGCAACAAGTATATTGTCTCTTCTGAATGAAGCATAAATCTTTTGGGGATCTGATTGTTTTTTATTCAGTCTGCCTCCTCTTAGCTCATCTCCCTGAATATCGGTAACAAAAGACAAAATAAAGATGTCCCTGACATTGCAAAGAGAATGACAGGACAGTATCTACTTGATTTCCTCTACACCCCATGATATATAAAGCAAATAAAAAGGTCAGGAGGAGGACTGGAGACTTAGTGATTCAGATCACACACAGTACTTGTTTTCTCTCTTTGTTTCTGACTCTATGAGGGATCATCTGTTACTTTATCAATCCCAGTGGGATAAAAGGCAAGAAAATTATTTGAACTCCCTCTAAAGCACCTGGAATCATAATGGGAGAGAAATACAGCAAAGTCTCAAGGGAAAATAAAAGGACAGCAACATTTAAATCTGTTCTTCTTCATTACTCATGGCATAATCTCTTTCCCATTTTTATAAAAGGTTTATTAGAAAAAGCAAATCAATCAGATGGATAGCTGACATTTTCTTTACCTTCAGGCCTTCTCTCTCCAGAATACGATTGTTCAATAACTGGTGCAGAAAGAGGATCTGACACAGAAAGTGCCTTTAAGATAATGAGCTGCATATTGAGCAACTTAATCTTTTGTTCAGCTTGGGACATGCAAGGGAAGTGGAGGTATGTCTGAGTTGACTGGCAGGGAAACACAGCTATCTTTGGCATTAGTGACTCAAACAACTCCGCCTGTCCATCTCTGAATATGAACATCACTGGTGATCAGACATCAGTCACTTGAAAAAGGACTCACTCTGGCAGCTTGAAAAGTAGCGTGTTTTAAACAGCATTAGCCTCAAATACCATGCCTTTCTAGAGGGATGTTGAAAGAGTGTCTAGAAGTTCTCCATGTGGTACCAGTCAGCAGTTACTGCTGTTGCCTATGTCAGGAGAGATCCACAATTAAAAGGGACAGCAAATATCAAAATAAAAATATGAAAAAGAAAATTAAAGCAGGAAACAGATATAGAACTGCAGAAAGACATTATGGCTATTCACTTAGAGGAAACACAATTTCATCATTAAGTCAAAAAATGGCCTAAAAATGCAAAGAAAGAGAAATATGTCATGCACTGAAAATTGGCCTGGTGATGTAATGTTAAGAAACATTACTGGATGCAGTTCACTGAATAGCTGGGTAAGGGAAAATATTATTCATACAACCTAAGTTCCAGTCTCTTGCCTAGAGTTATCCTAGATCTGACCTTCTTTTCTATGCTCCCTTCCTCCCACATACACACAATTTCAGTGACTAAAAACATGGTGGAAAAATGAAGAGGGCAACAAGCACAGCCTGAAAGGAGGTGCTTCACCAACTGGATCCCAGCTCTGGAGGAGTTACCTGGGGCTGCTCTCCTGCATTGCTGGGCAGCCCTGGAATGCAACAAAGTCAGCTGGATTTTTAGCATAATTGTCGATAAGCCCAAACGAAGAAAGCTAAACTCCTGTACCCTTCACAGTTGTTTCCCTCCCCAGGACTTTGTACTGAATTTTTTACTACTTTTTTTTTTTTTCCAGAAGAGAGAATTCAAATTATCTCACATCTCAGTGATAACATGGTAACACGGCTTCAATACTCCAGCTAGGAGTGACAAAGTGACAAGTACAGAAAATCGTTTTTAAAAAAACATTTAATCACTTAGCATTCACATCTTTGAACTGCAGCATGAAGTGCTACCCAAAAGCTAAATATTGTTAAGAGATCTCTTGGCTCTGTTTATTCTGTGAGCACACTATACCACCAAAGACCTTTCAAAACTTGCAGCCACTGTTCATGATATTAACAGGAACATGATGGTGGAATTTACAGTAGAATATTAAAATTGAAGGAGCTTTCAGTTTCCCTTTATGCAATTAACCCAGCAACAACAGCAAGCACTTTGAAATAACAGTACCAATCAAAAAATTCATGTTTGGGACAGCAAAGCAGTGAAATGCAATGATATTTCTTATGTAGGGGGATTTAATACTGCTTACTGCAGAGTCTATTAATCAGTTTCTCTACAGAACTCTAAAGCCACAGGTGCCAAATATAAATCTTTTTCTCATAATCCCATTCTTGGTCTTTTCATGTTATTACTGGACTTCCTGCATAAATTGTTGCTAAAGTAAGTTTGGTCCTTTTTCCTACAAAATTTGCCAAACCAAATGCTGGAATGCATTTGTATTGTCCTCTTACTAGAAGAATTTCTGTAACATTCCCATTGACCTAATTGCAGGTTTTGGCCTGAAAAGATGACACGTTTCTGTGAATCTGGTAAAGCTGTTGAAACAGGAATAGTAGAAATGAAGTACCCTTCTGGCCCCTTTCATCAAGCTCCAGGCTGAATCCCCTTAGGAATGTGATGGCATTTCTTTTCCCTGCTTTTTTCTAAAATCCTATTCTAAGCTGCTTAAAAAAAAAAAAAAGAAAGAAAAAAAGAAAAAAAAGATGAAAATCTGACCAAAATAACCCAGAAACTTAAGTAAAGACAGCTGGAAAGATGAAAGAGCGATAATGCTTAGATGTAAACCAAGCGACATGTTCCAACAACTGGAAGGAACTAAATTTTGTCCCAGAAATGTATGTTATTAAAGAATACAGTGTCAGCGGGGAAATCCCTGAAACCACAATACAATTACATTGTTTTAAGTCTTTATTTGGAAAGTATTATCATTACTTAGAGAAAAACAGAGTTTTCATGTTTATATAGCAAATATGAGTGTGGTACATCTTACAGTAAGTCTTTTTTTTTATAGCAGAAGAAAAAAATAATAGTCACTGGACAAAACTGATTCTTTGTAAATAGTTTAAAGCCAGGGTAGATACCATAAGCCATCATTAGGCAAGCAATTCAAATGAAGAAATATATAAAAATGTGATCAATATTACATACTATATTAGACTTAAAATATAGTTTGCAGAGCCTCCAACCTAAAGCAACTTCTGCTTTTGCCCCTGATGCAGATCGATCTTGCTCAAAGCTAAGTCCCATTTTATGGCAGACACAGTGCCTGTAACTTCCATCCTTTAATCTGGTAAAATCCTTGGATGTGCCCACAATTCCATTTAGAGTCACATTTCAGGGACCCATATATAATCATGTCTCCACTGTATCAGTGTGCTGTGTTCCTGGTTTTAACATATACTCCTAATTTCCTAAACTTCTGTCACCATCAGGGCTTCCTTACCTGTGCAGATTTTCCCGTCGTAGGTCTCGCACACCCAGTCGTGGCACTCACAGAGGGGACCGTAGTATTTGCCAGACTCGGTCACCTGGCAGATGCAGACTCCACACTCGCACCTGCCTCTGTCACTGCACAGCTTGCCCCCTGGGACACGGCACCTGAGCTCCGACTCAGCCCGGGACAGCCGGCAGGAAGCAGGGATACCCAAAGCGCTCCTGTGGGGGACAGCAAACTGAATGAGCTGCGGTCAAAGCCAGAGGCTGCAGCTCAGAGCCAGTGAGAGCTTGGCTCATTTCAGACCACCCTCCTGTCACTGGCTTCAGTCAATACCCAGAATATTGTTCTTACCACCTCTTCAGCTATGGTTGCAAATTATTACTTGTCTCAAATCACCCAGTTTTCTTTGTTTTCATCAGAAACCTCATTGCTACCTGCAAGAATGCTTATACTTTATTTTACTTACCTTTTTAACTACATTGGCCTCATCTACTTTCCCATCAGGCACATATGCACAGACACTTAGGGTTTGATTATCCATCATGAACCATTTTGATCTTAATTACTTCAAAAAGTTTAGAGATGCCATATACATCCAAACATCTGGGTAGCATAACAGAAATATATATCATACAGCACACTTAAGGTTGATTCTAATAACATATGTTTGCCAAAGTAATCCTTCTGGTTGTCAGTCATATATGATCCATGCTTCCAATGGAAGAGGAAACCAAAGTAATCGTGGCTTTCCACACAATACTGTAGGTTCTGGCTGTGGTTTTGGTAAAGGCAGCAAAATCCAATTCTAGATCCGTACATTTGCAGCTCTGCATGCAATTGTACCATGCACCAGAGCATGTGGGGATCACGACTTTCAGGACATACTCAGGGAAAATTACACTTTGGCTCATCAGGACCTGAATCATAAGAAAAACATAGGCAATCATAGGACTGCTTAGGCCAAAAACAGGTCTTCACAATGCTAAGGAATACTGAAGATGGAGATGAAAAGAACCTGCCCTTCTCAGATAGCAGATTTTGCAAGGCTCTGGAGCAAAGGAGGCACTGGCCTTAGGAGTCAGTGTGTGCTGGCTGTGGTGGAGGTGGAGAGTGAAGGGCAGCGCACCTCACTGTGCCCCCACACCAAAGTGCAGCAATAAGCAGGGTTCTGTGGTTAGGGTGTTTGCTCCACTCAGGCAGCAGAATCTGGGGAGTGTGGGTGTAAAGAGTTATCACTAGCCAGCTCTTCTCCCTTCACTGCTTTCAGTGTGCATTTTGGGCATCAAATGCATCGTTGCCAATAACTCTACAGTCTGCACATGCCCTTACCTACTGAGGCTCCCAGTGACTCAGAGCGCTTCCCTCAGCGTCACCTTTAAGGAGGCAGAGGAAGAGCCAAAAAGTGCTCCACCGCTCCCTCCGCAAACCGAGCTTCCACACTCCGGGCACCTCAAAGTCAGCCGCACCCCCCGTGAGAGCTGAGAGCCGCACTTACCGCAGGGCCGGGGGCCCGGCCGGCAGCGCGGGGCCCAGCAGCAGCAGCAGCCCCAGCAGCCCCGGTGCGAGCATGCTGCGAGCTGTGCCGAGCGCACCTGGCGCGGACGGACGGGCGGACGGACGGGCGGACAGAGGCAGCAGGCGCGCGGAGAGCTGCGCGCTGGACAAGCCCGGCTCCAGCGCTGCTCCCGCCGTGCTGCAGTGGCTCTGATTAGCTGCCTGGAAGCGGGATTTGGGCAGCACTCTGGGAAGGAGGCCGGTGCCAAACCCCGAAGTTTACAGTCTAGGCAGGGAAGTAATTAGAAACAGTTGCGCAGCCAGATGGTTTATTTTGATGTTTTAAAAGTGGCCCGTTCACAGATGTGAACGAACTGTCTCATTCTCAAAGTAGAGGCACCGTAAGTATTTGAGGTATGTGTATCCCCCTGTCCTTTGACAGACGGCTGCTTGGGATAATCTGTGAAACTTGTGCCGACCGGGAGACAGGAGCGGCGCTGCCCAGCTGCAGCATCCCTGCCTGCCTGCCTGCCTGCTGGAGCACCTCCCTGGCGCCTGCCTCCCCAGGTCCGTCCCTTCCCTCCCTAGCCTGAGGTCACCTGCTGACGTCACAGCGCCGTGCGACGCTGCAGGCTGCCAGCCCGCACCAGCATGACTGACTGCACATTAAAAGTATTATTAGTTTGCCATTTCCTAATGCCTTATTAAAACACAGTCCAATACTTCATCTCAGCAGTGGGAGATTTTTGAATTGCTGTAAAACTAAGCTAAAAGGAAGGATAGTCTCTCCAAATGAATCAGCTTTGGCAGATATGGCCACGTGCTCTTTATGCTGCAGAAAAGTTTTAGATCCCTCTGGCTGTCCTGGGAATTTGCTGTTTGCCTGATGCCTCCCTGTGATGGAAAGCTATTAAAGAAATAAACTTTGACCACAAAAGAAGATAAGTTATAGGTGTCCTAGTCTGCACACACACACATGCATTTTTAAAGCAGGCAGCTGAAAGAAGGTTTCACTGGTTTTGAAGCCTGTATTGGAGATTAAAGCCCTCAGTACCTTCCTCAGAATGAAAAACTCTTGTTTTAATTTCATATTAAGTATCTAAAATACCACAGATTATACTGTTCCAGAAAACTTAACTAAATCTTAAGATTTAGTTAAAATTCTGACTCAGAGGCTGTCGTTCCTATGAGTTTAAGTGGGTGTCTTACATTTTACATAGTGAACTCAAGGCTGCAATTCACAGCATTCCTGCTACCATAACTAGTTCTGCTAGTTATATTTCTGAAAAAAAAAAAAAAAGCATCAAGCATTTGACTTTGTTCTGCTGGCCTTATATATGACAAAAGAACCTTTAAAATCTAGTTTGGGGCCTGTTTCCGGTCAAGTGCCCACTTAACTGGAGGATAAAACTTTATCGAAATTCAAAAGAAGAGATTGGACAAAATCTGCTCTTGCGTATTTGTTAACATATATTATTAGTCCCTGAAGATATACAGGTTAAAGGAAAAAATTATTCCAAAATCTGCTCTTGCATATTTGTTAACATATATTATTAGTCCCTAAAGATATACAGGTTAAAGGAAAAAATTATTCCAGTGGACTATTAAAACACAAGAGTTTTGTCATATTTTAGTAAGTTATGTTGAAATTGTGAAGTGCAACTGCCTACTCCTAGTGTACTACCTTCTTTATGACACGTAACTTTACCTTAAGATACAAGCAAGGAGAATTAGGATGTAGAAAAATCTAAAAGCCCCACATACAGCTGTTGCAAACCAAATCTATTTTTTACCAGTTTTGTTGCCCTTTATAGTGTATTTCATATTGCAAGTGTGTTAAAATGTTTTCTCAAGCAACACAAATCATAAAAATCCTGTATTGAGTGATCTGTTGGCTTCAGTCCTGTGAATGTTTACAGTCCTGCTAATCCCATGCGTTTGACTTACTTTGATGAATCTAGTGAAAAGGGAAGTAATATTGGCAGGCAAATCAATAAATATTTATTTCTGACAGTCCTTGAACTTTGAAGTCCATGCTTAATGCAGCATTATGTGTTCTATCTGTGTGATAGTTTTTGAAATGTATTTATAATGCTGCAGTAAAAAAATATTCATAAATTAAGACCCTTTGGATTACAGAAAAGAGCACTTTTAAGAACAATGTGATTGTCAAAAATTGTACTGCCTGAAGTCTCAATTTAGAGAAGAATAAAGAGAAAGCTTTGCATTTTAAACAATAGTAATTCCCTTTTAGCACTAAATTTATCTTTAATCCACAACTTTAAAGGCTGCCATCTGTTCATCTTCCTCCTTTTTCCCTGAGCAGACTGTTGCTGACAGGTATTCAGAAGACTTTCAAGCAGACTACAAACTATAACTTCATATGTACGGGGAGAAGACATTCACCATGGTATGATGAACTTATCACTGTCTTATTTTTTTTACATCTGTCATGTTTTGAAGAAATACATACCTTTTTGCTGTGGACTTTTCGAATTTGGAGAAGGCATACTTACACAGTCGAAGGATGCAATATTCGAAATGTGTACCTAGAGCTTAAACTTCATAAATGCTTTCATGTGTACCTGTCTCTAATACAATATCTCAGTGCTCCCTTAATAGATTTTGACCTTTTCTTAGATTATTTTTTAATCATTTAAGCCTAGAATATTTTTATGCATGCATGTATAAACATGCGTAAAGTGTGTATATACATATTTATATATACATATATATGATGTGTATGTATTCAGGAGCTAATTGGCTTCCAAACAGGCTGTAAATTCAATTTAAAAGGAGTCAGTCTCTTTCTAAATGGGAACCTGACATGTCTTGAAAACTGTTCACTTCCTTTCAGCCACTCCTGTTCACAACCCTAAGGAACTTTTTTCTCTACTGGATAACATACACCTACAAGAAGAACAGCAGTTGTAAAACACAACTTTTCCTATGTATTGGAGTTTCATACTAAGGCTCTAGACCTGCAGGTGCTTGGTAAATGTATAGTTTACAAGTGGTAATGCCACTTCTTGCAGAATAAAGGTAGAAAAGAGAAAGTCAACATATTGCTGATGAGGAGAAGCTGGAACACACCTGCTAATACTAAACAGCCACTTCAAAATAGGCAACAGGTTTAAATAATACTTGTCAGACTTAAAATTACTTCAAATAAAGACATGTAATTAAAAAAATAGGTGGTGTTAAGCACACTTACACTTGAACCTCATTTTTAAAGTGTTTCCCTGTTACTGTTCTTCATAAAAGTTTGCAGGATTAGGTAGAGAGATAAGGATAGTCTCTAATCTTTTCCCTGCAATTTTATTGACCAGCAGAGGAATCAGTAAGGTAATTTCCTATCCAAACTGGTGAAGGCTATTTTTGTGATTTCATAGTCTTCTGAACTGTGTAAAAACTAAGCTGCAAGCCTGGGAGTAAAACAAGATAATTCATAGGCAGTGATTTCTTTTTTAAAGGCAAACAATATCTTAACTTTAATTTTGCCAGAATTGTTTTTATAATAAATCAAATAAGAATAATATTTTTTAAAAAGGGGAAAAAAAGATAAAGCTATTTTACTCTAAGAGTGGCCTCATCCTGGAACAGAATGCTCAGCAATGTTCACCCCTGGACATAGTCAAAAGCCATCTGGACAGGGTTTGAACAACATGCTTTAGGCTGTCCTGCTCTGGGAAGGTAGGTTAGACTAGGCCATCTCCAGAGATCCTTTCCAACCTCAAATATTCCATAATATTCCATAATTCTATGACGCTGATGGCATAATGTGCTATTGAACAAGGTTTGATTCAGTTTGGAGTGGCAGATGGACTCTGTCAACTCCTTTATTACAGCCTTTATTACAGTGAACATTTTAATTTTGTTGTCACTTAATAAAGCCCTCAGCTTTGCAAAACACATTCCATGCCATTCTTGAAGATTTTCTTTTTAAGAAAACAAATCAAAATGCACATAAAGTGAACAGTTTAAGCTTTAAAAAATGGAAACCATCAAAATCTGTCAAATATTCCTCCTGGGTTTCCATTGAAGCCATTTTAGTAACAGCATGGGTTTGTAAGAGTGGAGACTGAAGCATTCAAATGTAGAGGCATTCAGTTACATCAAAATTTCCTAAAATTAACCAGAAGTTGAAAATCCCACATATCAAGCAATTAGTGTTTCTCCATAAAATGTGGAACGAGGAGAATTTTAAGTGTCCAGTGATTCTTCTTTAAGTGTCCAGTGCAAAATATACAATCACTAAACTAGGTGGCTGTAAAGATCTAATGCAAACCACTTTAATAGCCATGAAGCAAAAAGTTAACTAAAATCTGTCTGAATTGAAGAGTTCAGAAATGCATGCAACTGTTGAGAGTCATCGCTGTGCTGGTCAATGCCATCCCTGGAAGGGAGCAGGAGACAGACTACACCAGAGCTGCACAGAACTGAAAACCTTGTGTTAATTTTGCTGACATGACATGGAATCTGGGACAGCTGATGGTATCACACAGGGAATACAAATAGCTTTTGGAGTTGCAGGATCAAGGTTAGAACAAGATAAAAGCTGAGCTGTTCTGAATGTAGCTGGCCCAAACAGTACAGAATATAAGCTACCCAAACAGTTCATAGGCCAACATTAATCAAGATGTTATTTTGTTATACTCTAGGGTAAAACCTTAGCTTACTCCGTCATGCCTCAGTTGAAACTTTAAATAGCTGGTAGGTCTTTTGTCTTTTGTTTTGTTCAGTGTTTGCTAGTGAATTCCCCTACACAGCAATAATACCCTGCTTTTACAGAGGCTTTAAGGAAGCAGAAGATATTTCAGCATGATCTTGCAAGAAAGCCCAGAAACAACAGTGCATTTTAAAAGCCAGTCTATTGCGTTCTTAACTATTTAGCATTTATTTCAGAAAGCAATTAAAGCTCTGTCATAAGCTGAGCTAACAGTAATAGTGAAGACTCCAAGAAAGGAAATAAAAGGCATAAAATTTTTCACCATAAATTATTACTTTATGTTCAATTTGTGACTTATTTCTTAAAGGAACAAGGTTTCTTGATGTTGGGAGTCTTCAAAAATCAG